CTATAATGAGGGACTGAGGGTAACGACGGGGGGCAGTGGCCAAGAGGTAATGAGGATACAGGGAGGTAACAAGGAACCAAGGGGAAATGAGGGATGGGGATAATGGAGGATGGGGGGTAATGAGGGGTTGGGGAGTGTAAGGAGTAGCAGAGGGTAATGAGGGATAAGGGGTAATGAGGGGCCGGGGATCATGAGGGGGTCAGGGAGTTAATGAGAGAACAGGGAGGTAATGAAGACAACCCTGGCTCAGCAGAATGCTGTACATGGAAATCTGGGAGTCCCCCCCCATCCATTAATCCTCAGGGCCTCACCCCCCTTCCTCAGCTCAGAAGCACAATGTCCCGGGAATGTTCCCCTGGTACGCAGCACATTGTACCTGGACATATCTCCATTGGGAAATGTTACTCCCAGACATACCAATGTTCCCTCCATCCCCAACTCAGCAACAGGGTATCTGTAGAAGTATCACCCTCTACACAAACCCGCCATATATTGTCCATGGAGATGTCCCATTCCAGGTTCAGCAGTATAGTGTCCCAGCAATTGTCCTCCTATTACTGACTCAGCATGGTCACTGCATGTATCACTATTACCAGCACAGATGTCCCTGGAACCATCGTTCTTAGCTCTTCTAGGGTCACTCATTGTTATATATTTATTTCCAGGATGCCCCTTCCTGCTAAGGCAAAACAATAAAGCAACACAGAGCAACGAGGATGCGGTAACCCATAGCAACTGTAAATCAGTAAGCTGACGTAAACTGAAATCTGAGATCCGGCTGCAATGGATTAATCCCCCCTCTGCAAACGGTTGCCATTTGCTCTGTTTATTTAATAACCCCAAATGTGCATTAAGATAAACGTGGCTTGCAGTGAACACTGGAGCACTCACTGACCGCTCTGTTGGTTGCCACGGCGACGTTACTCCAGCAAAGGATAGGGAGTGCGGCTCAACTGCAACTTGGGCCTAAGTCTGGACACCATATACAGTCGGGACCTGGGACCTAGGGAACTTCACGGGACACAGGGATTGACGGCGAACACAGGTACATGCCGGCCCCATAAGGTCCCCGGGCCATTTAGCAATGTTGTTACCTTTTTGCATGTTTAAAGGAGAAGTATGAGGGGGGTGCTTTTCACTCACCTCATAGTTCTAGCCGACCTGTGACAATGAGACTGTCACAGGTCGGCCCAGTAGATCGGGAGGTGAGCGAACACATACCGGGTTCGCTCGCCTCTCGATCCTGTCACGGCTCTCTGCCGTGACAGGGGCTGGATTCCCCTCTCCCCGCTCCGATCTGCCAGCGCTGACTGGCGGAACGGACGGGGAAGGGGGCGGGTACAGCTGGCTCTGCCTCTAGAGGCAGAGCCAGCTGTCACTCACGCAGCTGGGCGGATCACATCATTTACGTCGGGATCCGCTCCGGCGTCTCAGCTCGCGGTATACTGAGCTTAGGGTGACGGGAGGACGCTTGTTTGTGTCCTCCCGTTACCCTAAGGAGAACTATGGGGAAAAACACTGACCCCATAGTTCTCCTTTAAGGCCAGGCCGGGTTCACGTGTAAGCTTCCCAGCTGACTGTAATTAGGGTGGATGGGCTTTGTATATGGATGCTGAGTTTTGCATTTGAACGCAGAGCAATAACCTGCAATGTGAACAGATCTCAATAGGGCCAGCTGCATTCAAAGACATGCAAATGGGGTCCAATGCAGCCTCAAGAAGTTCTTCCACGCTACACGATGGAAATAAAGTGAAATCTGGAGACTTGCAATTGAAGTGCGCTTCAAACGCATGTCGAGACACAGAAATAAAGTCCCTGACTGTGGATTTCAGAGTCTTGCAATGCCTCATGGGACTTTCCAAAACAGCTGGAGTGCTGGGGTTGTCTACCCCTGCTATATATGCTTAAAGAAGGATCGCCCCCCCCCTCCTACCCCACAGGGGGGCTACTTTGCTTTTACCCTCCTCTTAACTGGGTTGAGCTCAGCTATCATATTCCCCAACCCAGTGAGTCCAGCATTGTCCTGTTGTGATCCACTGATCCCCAGCCATGCGCTGGGTCCCTACTCCCGTGCCGCCATCTTAACAAGAAACCAGGTGCATACATAGGCATGCCGCGGGTCACTGCCACGTACTATGTGCAGGTCCGTGGTTCACCGTGGTGCCAGGCTGCTGTAAACAAAGCTAGCAGGGTCTTGTCCTGTATTAAAAAGGGGATGTATTGCAATTTACCAGGGCAGATGCAGAGGGCCTCATCAGCGGCTGATAGAGGGTCTCACTAGGTGCAGTTATGGAGGGTCTCAGCAGAGGGTCTCATCAGGGGCAGATGCGGAGGGCCCCACCGAGTCAGCATGGGCAGATGCGGAGGGTCTCACCAGGGCGGCAGGGGCAGATGCCATGTGTCTCCCCAGGGCGGGAGGGGCAGATGCGCAGGGTCTCACCAGGGCCACAGGGGCGGATGTGGAGGGTCTCACCAGGGCGGCAGGGGCAGATGCCATGTGTCTCCCCAGGGCGGGAGGGGCAGATGCGCAGGGTCTCACCAGGGCCACAGGGGCGGATGTGGAGGGTCTCAACAGGGCGTAAGAAGCGGATGCACAGGGTCTCACCAGGAGATACGCAGGGTCTCACTAGGGCTTCAAGGTGCAGATGCACAGGGTCTTACTGCGGTGGCAGGGGCAGATGAAGAGAGTCTCACCAGGGCAGCAGGGGCAGATGCGTAGGGTCTCACCAGGGCGGCAGGGGCAGATGTGCAGGGTCTCACCAGGGCGGCAGGGGCAGATGTGCAGGGTCTCACCAGGGCGGCAGGGGCAGATGCGCAGGGTCTCACCAGGGCGGCAGATACAAAACAGGGGCAAATGTCTAGGATCTCACCAGGGCGGCAGGGGAAGACGCAAAGGGTCTCACCAGGGGCAGATGCGCAGGGTCTCACCAGGGCGGCAGGGGAAGACGCAAAGGGTCTCACCAGGGGCAGATGCGCAGGGTCTCACCAGGGCGGCAGGGGAAGACGCAAAGGGTCTCACCAGGGGCAGATGCGCAGGGTCTCACCAGGGCGGCAGGGGAAGACGCAAAGGGTCTCACCAGGGCCAGATGTGGGGGGTCTCACCGGGGTGACTTGGGCAGATGTGCGGGTTGGTGAACGAGTTGTGGGACCGCTGGACGAGCAGTGAGACGTGTAGGCCGGCGCTCCAAGTAGACTGCCGTGAGGCCCCCAGCAATACACTTAAAAATTTAAAGGGTCATGCACCTCCAAAGGGACCCCCTGGGACAGGATCTCAGTGGGCATTAATCTCCCCCTATCAGATCCTTCACCCAAGCATTCCTCATGTTGGTAGCACTCAGATTATCTGTCTGAGCTAAGACTCAATTCACAAAGCTTTACACAAGGACAGAGATCTCTATTGTAGCCGAGCGACTCTACTTTCAATCCCATTGGGCCCAGCATGAGATCACTGTGACTTTTTGGGAGATCCGTATCCTTACCCTGGTGTGTTAGCTTTGTGAATGGAGTGCGCTCAGTGATGAGAAGCTACGCTGGGTGTCACTCTTCACCCTACCATCGGGCTGCCCATGGAGGGCGGGACTTTTCCCTGATCCGCCTCCGCCTGTCAATTCTAGCCGTTTCCATGGAGATGGAACACAGCCTGGAGGCCAACAGCACGAGTAAGGTGACCGGGGATCCGCTCGCAGCATCCATCGGCCCGGGTTCCTGAGCGGAGAGCGGAGGCAGATGAGGGCGGTCAGACGGAAGGGCGACTGCCGCAGGTACCCGAGCTTGGTAGTCGGTAGGGGGGCGGTGGGGGTTGCCCGCTTGCTGGGCCTGTTTGTTTATATTAACCATCACTATAGCTACAGCACTTTAGAGACACTGCCATTGGGAGACATAGATAGCAACGACAGTGTCTCCTTCACACTTGTGCGTGCGTTAGGGGCTCATTCGTACGACGCATGTTATTGTGCACCTTCTAGAAGATATGTTGCACATTCTGCTTCGGTATATCATCTTAATTCGTATTCCTTTAGCATGACATGTGAATGCAACGTTTCGGAGCCTCACGCGATCCCTTCGTCAGGCACAGTGTTGTGCACATGACGCCTGGGCGCTGATATGCCGTCTGCATGTGCGCTGCGATGCGTTGTTGAAATGCACTATAGTGCTTGCTTCTTATCAAACTTCCATGGACTTATATGCGCTGCAGCGCATTGCAATGCATTGCAGCACGGCAAAACGGAGCAGTGCAAAAATGCAACACGTGCTATTTTTTTGCATGTCGGGGGGGCCCCGGAGCCGTAGGACAAAAGGCAAATTTGCCTTGTCCTTGGGTTGGGGTTGCGTTGCCGCCCAATGCAGCCCGGTGCTGCTGGTGCGAAGGAACCCTGATGCGTTTTCATGCACGTGCGTTGTGAACGACACCTGCGTTGAAACAAAAATACGCCCGGCAAAGTTTACCTTTTAGCACGCGTTACTGCAACTTTCCGATTGGCAGTTCTGCAACATAATCACATGACCGGCCCTGCAAGTGGCAGTTACAACTTGGACAGTTCAGACTACTAGATGCACCCCGGATCGTCCAAGTTGTGACGTCACGGTGCACTTTAACGTAAGCCCTCCAAAAGCCCAGCGATTGGTTCTTCCCACTTGTGGCTTTGAATGCAACGACGGCGGGAGCTTCTGACATAAGATTTGGGGAAAAAATCCGAACCCCCCCGAAACCACCGATTGCAGCCGAGAGGACGTGTCCCAGTCATTACTGTCCATGAACCCATCGCACTCCTTACCGCTCAGTTCATGAACAATGTTCACATGTTGTGCATGAGGAAGGGGATCCTGCGTGACCCCCGAAACGTTGCACGTTAAAAAAGACGTCTTCTTCATCTAAATTGGAGCGCCGGTGTCCTATCTATAGTCCAGCCATTGCTGTGTCACCCATGTCCTCCCCCTCCATTTACATTAACAGGAATGTTTTTTGCTGAACGGCAGCTTTGTGCCGCCCATTCATCTGCGTCTAACCGCCCTCTATATAAGTCAATACAAGGCTTAACCCCTTCATGTCCGGGGAGGGGGGGGGGGGGGGAAAC